ATTCCGTACGGGACTCGCCGATTCACTGTTCGGACTCGCCGATTCCGTACAGCGAATCGGCGAGTCACTGTACAGAAACGTCCGGATCTCTCTAAAACCGGACGATTCTTGTTTTTTTTGCCGATTCAATCTGTCCATGGCGATTCTCGAGTCGCTCGGCGTTTTTTTAAACACTGGTTGGCACATTAAAGATATAACACCCATGTCTGTCGTATGCTTTTTAACCATTCTTCTTGAAATCTCCCTATATAAATACTTTATGTACCCAAAAACATCCTCCCACTTTGTTTCTAGTTAGAATATGGATTTGTCCTATCTAAAAGACTAATTTTCAAGATAGTAATTCTAATACTTATGTGTCAAATACTTGCGCATTTATTTGTGTTCAACACTAGTAGAGAAGAATATAGATTTGATATATTTAAAAGGCTAATTTTCAAGTTAGAATATTGGACACTCATGCAGTCATGCATGTGTTAAATAAACACCGGCACATATGTCCTTGTTTGTAACACATCTAAATATATTGTAGGAAAGGGGTTGGGTTGTGGCGGAAGCACCTCCGTACCTAGTTACCACGTTAACACCTTCAAAAAAGAAAAAAAAAAAAGGCTAATTTCTTAATCTATATAAAAAAAAGGTAAGGTTTATTTTTCTCACTAAATTACCTCTCTCCTCCCCCCCTAAAAAAAAATAAAAAAAGAAAAAAAAATAAAAAGAGGGTATTGTGCATTTTATTGTGTATTTCATGTGATGCGCAAAAGAGAAAACTAGAATCTACAAAACTCTGCAATCCACTACAAGGATGGAGGAGGAGATCAACCATCAATATCATAAAACAAGACACAAAAAGAGGAGGGAGGAAGGCTAAGCAAAGGTATCAAAGAGTCAATAGGTTTGTGTGTATCCTCCCATGCCATGAGGTGGTCGAGGTCCATGAGGAACATAGGAGGACCCAGGCAATGGCTGAGCCATTGCATAACCTCCCACCCCTGTTTGCTGCTGTAGCTGAGCCATGCCAAGCTGCCCTTGCATCCCATCCATTGCATAATGTTGCCATAGCTGCTGCTCTTGCACTAATAATGCCTGCCTCTTCCCCATATCCCACATCTGTACATATGCCGGTGGTGCGACACTGGTGGATGCGGAGAACGGGTCGTTCGTGCTGTATGCAGCCCCTGGGGGTGCAGGCAGCGCAAGCAGTTGTCCTCCTGTAGCACCCGCTCCTGCCATGCTACTTGCACTGCCTGTATAAGCTATAGAGCTCGTTTTTGGTGCTTGATCGTAGAGCCCGTCTAGTAGTAGCATGTCGAACCCTCCGCCGAGGGCTGGCTTTTGGCTTTGTAGCCCTCCAGTTGTCGACTGCACCAAAGCGAGTTCCCAATCGGCTTTGTCTCCCTCGTCGGTGAATGCCTCCCATTTGTCGGTTCCCGATTGCCCGACCTCTGCTTCTCCCCCTAATACTGTGAGTGCAAGTTGGTCTCCCGGATGGGCATTGGCAAAGGCACCATCAGTATCCAGGCTGATGAGGTCCCTGCTCCCCTCTTGGGCTGGTTCGGTTTCAGGTTCTTTCTTTTTGGCCACCTCTGCGGCTTCTCTTCTTATATCCTCCCCTGTTGCCTCCTCTTCGTTAACAGGCGGTGCAGGAAGCGCCTTGATTCCAGTCATGGCATCCTCGCCTTCTGTCTCGGGATCTTGCAGCCTCTTAGACTGCGACACACACTTGTCTCGGATAAAATCCTCCATTAAATCAAGCTTCTTCTGGGTGATCTTGTCGAGATCAGGATACTCCGCAATGCGAAGCATCGCAACCGTCTTGAACCAATTGTAAAACTGCTCGAGCTCGTCTATCTGCTTGCCAGCCCTCCCAAATGCCTCCAAAACCTTTACGCACTCCGGCACTTCCATGTCAGTGAACCGATCGATCATGGCCCCCATCGCCTCAGCCATTTCAGAGTACATCTGGAAGCTCTCCTTCACAATAGGATGCAGAGCCACCACCACGAGGTGGTTTTGCTTGGCAGCCCCAGTAGGCTTGCAAGCCAAGAACCGGTCCAATATCTGGTGCAAGTGCTGCATCCTGGCAAAAAGCCTGTCCGGGCGAAGCTCCCTCACCGGCGTGGCAGCATATGGGGAGTCACCAGAGGACGTCCGACGCCGCCGTTGGTGTTTTGTGCCATGTCTAGAGAATTCTAAGCGCTCATCCAAGTACATAGCGACAGTGCGCACCAGAGCAGAGAAGTCCCAAGAATCAGTAGACCGAGAAGACGCATCACGAAAGTCGGACATGTTCAGGAGACGAGTACCACGTCGGGTGGCGTAGAATAGCTCTTGCTCATAGGCAGGTTCACCCTCCGACATGAGCCTGTGCACGAGCATTAAGACCTTCAGGGCAACAGCCCAGTTACGGGTGCGGTTCAAACGTCTAGCGAGTGTAGCGACGCAGGCAGAAACATGGGCTCGGGAGTACGCCGTGAGGCTAAGGAGCTCGTGGATGTGGCGCTCGTTCGCAGGATGATCATCGTGGCGTGTGGACTTCACCACCGCCACCTCGATGTCCGGTATGTTCCCTCCGCTCATCTTCACCAGGCCGATTGTGGTGCGGTCTTTCACCGCTCCCAACGCCTTCGCAATCTTGCTCGGCGCCATGCCCTGTGGATTTGAAATTTCAGTAAGCTTTCGGGGTGTCTACAAGAAATTTCTTCAAATTTTCTATCTGGCGTTCATTCAAAATTTCACCAATTTTTTTACTGTGACCTTAAAAATGCAAATCATCTTTAATGTCGCATCATACTTTCAGCAAATTTTGGCATTTGAATTCAACATTTCATATAATCTTGACGCAGTTCCAATTTTTCAGCAAATTTGAGTAATTCTCTCTGAACTTTAAAAACATTAAGTGCTGTGTAAATTCAAAAAACATGCATAATCACCACCCTAACTAATGTGTAGAATGGGAATTAAAATCCCAAAGAGAAACATGAATTTATCACCCCGATTTCTATGATAAACAAGAATAAGGAAAAGAAGATTTGAATGTTTACAAAATTGGAAAACCAGAAAGGAATTTGCATAAACGTGTAGATTTAGAAAAATATATCAAGAAAAAAATTTGAATAATTTCCAGAAAATTTTACTGTGGCTCTAAAAATGCAAATCATCTTTAATGTGGCATTTAAATTCAACATTTCACATAATCTTCACACAGCTCCAATTTTCCAGCAAATTTGAGTAATTCTCACCGAAATTTAAAAATATTAAGTGCTGTCTAATTCAAAAAACAAGCATAATCACCACCCTAAATAATGCGCAGAATGAGAAAATCCCAAAACGAAACATGAATTTATCACCCCAATTTCTATGATAAACGAGAATAAGGAGAAGAAGATTTGAATGTTTACAAAATTGGAAAATGAGAAATGAATTTGCATAAATTTGTAGATTTAGAAAAATATATCAAGAAAAAAATTTGATTAATTTCCAAAATAGTAAAAAGTGAAATGGATATTTTAGCTAGAAGTTACTCACTCCAATTCATGATTGAGAAAGAAAATTGTTGGGTCTCTAATATTTAATGTGGTTCTTTTCATTATGCATTGAAATAAAAATTAGAGTTATTTCTTGGCATTGAAATGTTAGATAGACGTACTTTGGGTTTTGAGTGGTGGACCTTCGAATTTTAGTAATGTTTATAGCTTCATGCACTAGAGGGAGAAAATAGAGAGAGGGAGAGGTGGATAAATCTCTCTCCACTCTCTCTCTATCTCTCTCTCCTCTTTCTCTCTCCACTGGTTTTTGTGCTCAGCACAAATGACGCTGCATATGAAATATGGACCACCCATGTGATCCCTTAGAGCATGCCCCTTAGGACAGCTTGTGATCTACTCCTATGTCTCTTTTCCTTATTGAGTTGTGCAGTGCAAAATTGAGTTTTACTTGTTCCAATGTTAAAACGGCTTCACTCAACCTGAAATGATTCATTGTTCTGAGGGATCATGCTATAGATTTGATCCCTCTGTAAAACCTCAGATGAAAATCAACCCAATAAGTTGGGAAAAGGTTTTGACATGCTGAGGCAAAACCTCAATTGAAATTATTTTTTGGAGCCCTAATTTGAGGATGTAATCTTTTAATCTAGCGACTGACCTCAAAAAGAAAAAAAAATATTGACTAAAATTTATTTTTTTAAAAAATAATTATTTAGTGATTCATTAGTGGATCCTGAAATCTTGTATCAAAAGAATCCTATGAAGTAGCTCTTTTGTTTGAGATAGTTATTTTACAATATACTCCCACCGGAGCATGCTATACACTCCTCTATTGAATCTAAACCCTTTTGTTTTTTGGTTTTATCGAAAGTTTCTATAATGCCTAGGCTTCATGAAAACAAAATAATGCCTTACCTCAAATCTTCTTCCGGAAAGCACTTTTGACAACGAAAATATCTATGATGGCTCTAAAATTAAATTCACTACCGATAATGAAATTTGAAACTTAAATTTTTTTTACAGAGCTTGCCAATGTTTGAACACTTATTTTTTTACACTAAATAATGTGTAGAATGAGAATTAAATTTCTAAAGAGAAACATGAATTTATCTCCCCAATTTTTATGATAAACAAGTTTATGCAAATTCATTTCTGGTTTTACAATTTTGTAAACATTCAAATCTTCTTCTAAATTTAAAAACATTAAGTGCTGTCGAAATTCAAAAAACAAGCATAATCACCACCCTAAATAATGGGTAGACTGAGAATTAAAATCCAAAAGAGAAATATGAATTTATTACCCCAATTTCTATTATAAACAAGAATAAGGAGAAGCAGATTTGAATGTTTACAAAATTGAAAAACCAGAAATGAATTTGCATAAACTTGTAGATTTAGAAAAATATATCAAGAAAAAAGTTTGAATAATTTCCAAAATTTTTACTATGGTTTTAAAAATGCAAATCATCTTTAATGTGGCATTACAGTTTCAGCAAAATTTGGCATCTAAATTCAACATTTCACATAATCTTGACATATGTCCAATTTTTCAGCAAATTTGAGTAATTTTCATTGAAATTTAAAAACATTAAGTACGTTCTAAATTCAAAAAACGAGCATAATCACCACCCTAAATAATGCGTAGAATGAGAGTTAAAATTCCAAAAGAGAAACATGAATTTATCACCCCAATTTCTATGATAAACAAGAATAAGGAGAAGAAGATTTGAATGTTTACAAAATTGGAAAACCAAAAATGACTTTGCATAAACTTGTAGATTTAGAAAAATATATCAAGAAAAAAATTTGAATAATTTTGAAAATTGTGAAAAGAGAAATGGATCTTTTAGCTAGAAGTTAGTCACTCCAATTCATGATTGAGAAATAAAATTGTTGGGTCTCTAAAATTGAATGTAGCTCTTTTCATTTAGCATTGAAATAAAAAACGGTACGGTTTGTATAGAGCCTAGGCTCTAAACAATCAAATTAGAGCCTACCTTCGGATAGTGTCGAGACATATGGTTTCAATACTGAAAATATTTTTAAAGCCTTAAAATATATTTTCATCTTTATTTATAAAGTTTAAAGCTTCAAAAATAGTGTAGATCGAGACATCTATGGAAACTTGAAAATATTGAAAATTGATGGTCCAAAAGTACGTTACAAAATATACTATTTCCAGAACTTGAATTCCATTTTTTTCTCATATCCATGCATCTTGATGTCGAGATAATGAATTTGAGGATATTTGGGCATCAAAACAATCTTTTTTAGTAAAATTTTGGAGGTAGGCTCAAATTTGATTGTTTAGAGCCTCGGCTCTATATAAACTTTTCCCAATAAAAAATAGAGTTATTTCTTGGCATTGAAATGTTAGATAAATGTACCTTGGGTTTTGAGTGGTGGAGCTTCAACTTTTAGCAATGTGTATACCTTCCTGCACTAGAGGGAGAAGATAGAGAGAGGGAGAGGTGGACAAATCTCTCTCTCTCCCTTCTCTCTATCTCTCTCTCTCCACTGGTTTTTGTGCTCCAGCACAAATGACGCTGCATATGAAAAATGAAGAAGTGCTGTCTAGATTAAAAAACAAGCATAATCACCACCCTAAATAATGGGTAGAATGAGAATTAAAATCCCAATTTTTATGATAAACAAGAATAAGGAGAAGAAGATTTGAATGTCTACAAAATTGGAAAACCAAAAATGAATTTGCATAAACTTGTAGATTTAGAAAAATATATCAAGAAAAAAATTTTAATAATTTTGAAAATTGTAAAAAGAGAAATGGATCTTTTAGCTAGAAGTTAGTCACTCCAATTCATGATTGAGAAAGAAAAATGTTGGGTCTGTAAAATTGAATGTGGTTCTTTTCACTAAGCATTGAAATAAAAATAGAGTTATTTCTAGGCATTGAAATGTTAGATAAATGTACCTCGGGTTTTGAGTGGTGGACCGTCAACTTTTAGCAATGTGTATAGCTTCATGCACAAGAGGGAGAA